GATGCAAATTGTTGGGATTTTTGGACGCTCGAATTGACAACCGGAACGGTTTGCAAAGAGGGGTCGGAAAGGTTTTTTGTTTAGGGAGTAAGGAGATTGAAAGATAGAAAATTGCACAACGATTTAGAGTGGTTCGACTTTCTCAACCAAAGTCTACGTCCACTACCTTAGCTCCTCACCAAGGATTTTGCAACAAATTCACTAATTTGTTCTTTCTTTTGAGGAAAAAGAGATAACCTTACAACTCCCTAGTTTTTCCGGGCTAAACTAGAACCTTTCTCTAGAATTTACATGGGATTAGCTAGAACTTTTCCCCTTTACAAAAGGATAAAAGAAGTAAACAAGAAAACCTCTCAAAGGTAGGTGTTTATAAGAATTAAGCTCACTAGAACAATATTTACAAGAGAGAATGAAAATAAGAATGAAAAACTCTTCTCTTGTGTTTGATTGCTTGGATAGTTGTTCTCATTATTCTTCAAGTGTCCTCAGCTTGTATTTATAGCTTGAAATGAGTTTGAAGTCGTATATAGTCGTTGGGGATGTTTTGGAGCCGTTTGGAAATGATTTTTCTTCAAAAATATTCTACCCATAATAGGGAGTATCGGTACCCCTTCATAGGGTATCAGTACTCCTTCGTAAAATTCAAATAAACTAGCCATTGCAGCCAGGGGTATAGATACCCCTGGGGGGTATCGATACCCATGGTATAGATACCCCTGTAGGGGGTATGGATACCCTGGGGGTATGGATACCTCTGGGGGGTATCGATACCAACCGAGCAATCTGTTATTTCTCGGAACCAAAATGTTCATAGGGGTATCGATACCATATAGGGGGTATCGGTACCATACTAATGAAAATTGATTTTTGGCTTGAATAAGGCTCGAAATACTTTGTAAAAATTGTTTCAAAAATATTTTAAGTTTGAAACTTAATTTTACACTTTAGTAAGGATTGAAATTGACATTTAAAAAACTTGGAGTAATATTTTGATATTCGAATAATTTAATCGAATATAATTGAAAATATAATAAAATCTTAAAATTCATTAACACTTAATTTGTTATATCTAAACATCAAAATGTTTTCAGCAAAATCCTAAATCCTCTACCTTCCTCTCAAAGTCAATTTTTGAAGCTTTAATTATGGAAAAACCATAAGTGTGGGTTTAAGGTAGGTTTTGGGTCTTAGGTTTTCTTAATGTTCTCAATTCATTTTTAGATATTTTAACCTTCTTAATCCTTTAGATAATTTGGTTACTCATTTCATTCCTTATGATTAGTGAAAAAAGTGGGCGAAAGCTCCAAAAGCAAGAGAAAAGAGAAAGTGATACTTAGGTGAGTTTGGGTTGATTCTTCAGCTTCTAGATGTAAGGAAATACACATCTAACCTTCATTTATTGCTTGTATATTAGCATGTATAGTTTTGATGTTTGTATATATACATGAGGCATTTGAGGTGCATTGGGGTTTATATCATGAAAATGGATATTTGTTGTTGTTCATGCATAAAGTATTGACATTTTATGACCCTTGAAATATAAATAAGTTTTAAACACCGTTTGGGAGTCTTGGGGTACCTAGGGAGTAATTTAAGAGTCTTTACTCGAGAAAAATAGAGTTTTCTAGGTTGGGGCATCAATATTGGAGGAACAATACTGATACTGTTCGTATTGAGTGAGAAATTTCAAAGGATTTATTAAGCGAAGTATTGTTACTCGTCCAAGGAGTATCGATATTGTTCATGTAGTAATGATACACAAAAGCTTAGTATTGATACTCGGGTACTCGATTAGATTCCAGTAGCCAAATTAGGTATTGATACTCATGAGAGTATTGATACTTCCAGTCAGGGTATTGATACCGAGGCATTTTTCAAAATATGGAATATAATTTCGATATTGGTACTTATGAGAGTATCAATACTGAAGGTAGAGTATCGATACTCTTAGGAAGAGTATTAATACTAAGGCTTTTTCCAAATCATATAATGTAATTTTGGTACTGATACTCAAAGAAGTATTGATACTTAGGAAGGGAAGTACCAGTACCCAAGGGGGAGTATCAGTATCATCTTGAATACTTGGGTTTATAAGAGTAACTTACATTAAGGAGTCACGGGTTTCGTTTCGAGGGGAAATTCGTCAATAAACTTATAAGTGATGACCTTAATAAATTGGGTGATAACATAAGATCTTAATAAGGTAAGATTCCATAAGGCTTATGCTTTTGTTTGACTCTCGGGAAATGATGATGACACCCAAGTCACTTTGTATGTCGTTGATTGGTAGAGTGTGGATTATTCGGATTTATCCAAAGTAGTGATTGGGCATTTAAAATGCTAGTTGGACATAGTGTTGATGTTGAGTGACCCGACCCCATCCCAAATACTCTAGAGGAGTATACTAGTCATGCAAGGTGTCGATTGTTTTGTGATGCTAACTGACCCCGAGCTACACCATGATGCTTACTTTTGTTGTTGTCTTGTTGAATGTACTTAATTTTTCATAACCATACTAGTACCATGCTTATATATTGAATGCATGTAGTATAGTAGGGTTATTTTTGTGGCACTGAACTTGTGAGCTCAGTGTATGGAATGTGTTTCCATGCGTAGATTCTTAGGTGTCAGTTCGAGGGGCTCATCGTCGGACTTAAGGATTTTCAGACTTGATATATTAAGAGTACGTCTTGAGTATTGCAATGAGCATGTACTTTCATAGACCCTTGTTTAATGTTTGAGTCGTAAACTCTATTTGAACTTATGTGTTTTGACTATTTTCATGGGAGCTCCTTACCGGTTGCAAACCAAACTTATATTTTGAGAAGTTATTATGTTTTATATTTTATTGTCTTGAATTTATGAATGTGACAAAACGATTCCAAAAAATGGTTAGCCACTTAGGTAGTTCCGTGTAATATTCTAATCATTCAGATTTCAAGTCGTGTCGAATTAAGGTGTTACAACCATAATTATGCAAAATAAACAATGTAGCTCATAAGTGTATTTACAACAAAGAATTTCACAAATTGGGCACAAAAGAATACTTTGATGTTGGTAGTTTTGTTTAATATGGTTTTTGTTGATCTTGTGATGATTTGACTTGCAATTTATACCTTCTTAATCAATTATAGCTTATTAGAATAGTTGAGAGTGATTATAGTCGTTACTTACAACTAAAAATAGCATTTAATGCAAAAGAGATCGATCCTTTTTCAAATTATTAGATCGTTGAAAGAAAGGGATCGATCTTTTAAGGGAAGGGATTGATTATTTTCATCGAGGGATTGATCATTTTGATGAAGGGATCGATCCTTTTCCTCGAGGGATCAATCCTTTTGCTAAAAGATCGATCCTTTGAGCCAAAAATCCTTGGAAACTCAACTTTAAAGCGCGAAAGCGATCAAGTAAATTTTTGAAAAGGTTTGATTAAGTTGGAAAACATTTAAAACATATTTTTCAATTGATCTTGACTTTGAATTATTTTTGGTAAATTTTTGACAAATTCAATTAAGTCTAAAAATCAATTTTACAATTTATTGTTATATTAAAACATTAATTCAACCCATTAATTAAACAATCTCATAAGGGAATGAAAATACATTCAAATCATCAGTGTTTTTTAAATAATTATCCTTATCCAAGACTTATATGATTTTATTTATAGTAATCTTTAGGATAAAGTACACAAATATTCCCTTGACTATAGGATACTACTTTTTTAAATTCATCAATTATTAAAAGTTATAAAATGATCATCCGACTATAGAAGATGCTTTATTAAGTCCCTTGACCATTAAAAGTTGCAAAATGATCACCCACCTATTCATTATGTTCTAAAGTCGTCAATTTCCATTAAAAAATTGATGTTTGCATAAATTTGATGTTAGCATGATGATTGAGATATGATAGTCGTTTGAAGTTCTTGGATCAGATTTTATTATATCATAGTTAGCAGGCTAATGTTCAGCTTAGAATACCGTTAATTTTTAACGAAAAATGATGAGTTTGGAACATAATGAATAATCATGTGATAATTTTCTAACTTTTAATAGTTGAGGGACTTAATAAAGCAATACCATATATCGAAGGGTCATTTTGTACTTTACCCTATTTTTAATACAAATGAGTTTTAAAACAATATTTATATTTATTTCCTTAAAAAATATTTTTTATTAATCTAAAGTGATTACAAACAGTAGTATTTGTCCAATATAGACTTTTAACCATTTGACAAAGAATATTTTAATTACCCCTATAGTTAGTTGTTGATGCTCAAATTTAGAACTTTTAAAAATAACAATCATCTCTTTAACCACTAAATAACTCCTTAAAACTGAATTTTAAACAATATGTTTAATACTGATGTGTATCTTTATTTGTCTTTGGACTTCCATCTTTTGAAAACCAGTTATCATTGACTTTGATTCCTAGAATTTAATACTACTAAACCATTATTCCCCTCTTAAAAAAACATATGTACTAATCCCAGAAGACAATTAATACGATGAGCAACCTTCATAGACAATCTGCCTCATTCGTTCGAATGCGGAGTGACACATTCACACGATAACAAAAAACGGAGTGCTTACATTGTTACGTACAGTATATATGTTAAGTTAATCATAATCATAGTAAAAATAAGAAAATCAAAACGAACAATTTTGTTCATGATTAAAAACGCGGGAGCGTTAACACTGAATTCTAAACAGAAAATCTACACGCAAGGGAGAGCCTCAGTTGTAGGGGCAACGAACATAATGGTTTTTATCATCCAATGTAAGATTTACCACAACTCCATTACTGGAATTTATGATTTGCACCACTTTCTTAAAATGGTATTATCATGTATCAGAAGTGAGTCGCCAACAGTGCTGCATACCATACATCCATACAAGGACGGACGGGAGGATAGACGCATGATTTTTTATTAGGGAACAAACTTAAACTTATAAAATTCTAGAGGAACAAACTTTAACTTATAAAATTATAAGGGAACAAAGATAAATTTTCAATAGAAATACATAAAAAATCTAAAATATATGATAATTTTAATTTTTCAGAGGGTGACCGCTCCTGTTTAGGTCCATCCCTACATCCATACGTACCAATGGAGCTTCGAGGAATGTCTTGTCCACCCCCACCTAGTTTAAAACTTTACACCATATACGCATAATATGTTCTCAAAGTCCAAGCATACCCACCTTGAGCTCCTCAGTTCTTCACAATCCAAGTTCAAATAGTTATCTCAAACAGCTTCTACCGCAATGAACCGGGTTGGACAAGCTTGATATATATATATCTATATATATATACATTATCGGCGCACTGCCTTGTCCGACATTTCAGTCTATCTGAGATAATGTGTTCATTGAAATAGACTAAGCTGAACCCCCCTCTGCCGGAATCAAATCAAAATCAAAGGTAAAAACTTGATATTTTTTGCAGAATTGACCAACTCGAGGCAAGATATCAAACCATAAAGTGTTCTTCAAGCAGCCCTTATCTAGATTTTCCATTTTAACTTGTAGTATCCAGGGGGATATACTGTAGGCAGAAATGCATCCTGTGAATTAGAAGCAAGAGCAGATGACTGAGACGATCATTTAAGATCAAACATGAGATATTTAAGTTATTCACAGAACAAACGGAAATTGCAATGGGAAAACTACTGGAGCGTGAAGAAAACGTGAAGCAATATATTCCATGACATTGATGAGTCCCTTAGAGGGAACGGATAGAATTGCAACTCGTGTGGAAAAGAAAAAAGATTGCTTGCTGTTGCGCGTATCAGATGTCAAAATGAAATCGAAATACCTAATGGCTAGAACGTAGTGCCTCATACAAAATTCACATTTATTAAAATTCATAGATATAAAATATGCTATTTGGGTCATTATGACACATAATTGCACACTAAAAGCTCTCTACCAGATAAGCATTACATGAAAGCACAAAAATTAGTTGACTCCGTAGATCCACTAGAATATCCCTTGTTCCAAATCATAGCTGGAGTAATATTGTGAATATTTGGTCTATAATGCCAGTATATTGAGCATTAATTGCATTCAGATAAAGCCCAACTTTATAGAAAATTGATCTATGAGCTGACAAATTACCATTTTCATCATTTGGCGGATGAAGTGCGTTGCAATGACGAAATCCAACTACTGGAAGGACAGATTTTATTTCCATGCCCAAGCCCAAGCCCAGAATTGGTTGCTTCATTGGGCAATGTTGACTTCAGCCCATTTCTTTTCAAGGTGCCAGCAGGTGCAAACGAAGATGAGGGTGTATGAGGGTAAAAAATCTGCCAAAACCAAACATGCAAATCAATAACGCAGATGAAGCTAAAATGGATTCCAAGATCTAAAAGCACCAAAAAACCTAATTCAGATAAATAAACCACAAAAAACTGTATCCATAAATGTCTACACAAACGAGAATAGTCGCCACAAATTTTCCTTCTGATTTTGAAATATGATCACGAACTTACATTTTTATCAACATTACTATCAGAAATCAAGTTCTTTCCTGTAGCTTGTTTAACTTGCATGTGTACACCTGGACCCGAAACATTGTTTGATCTAATGCGCTCTGTAATATCAGCCGAGTAAGTAGGATTGAAACCTCCTGGCAGTTAAGCAAAAACAAATCCTACTTATTTCATAGTAAAAGTAACATCAATAATAACAGAATTTGAAATTTCTCCACAATAAAGATCATTGATGATTTTACATATCAACCCTATCTCGACTTTTATGCAATTAGGTCTCTCCTTTTTAGCTTATCACGTGCCTTCTAAAATCCTTTATCCAACAGATAAATTCCTAAATACACAATTCAGTCATTTGAGCAAAAAAAGCATCACCAGGAGCTAACCTTGATGATTGTTCACATCCGCTGGTATTGGATGAGTGCTGCTACCTCCAGGAGCTGGCTGTAGTTTTGGGAAATATTATCTTATCAGAAAGAACAAATCTTCCATTAAAGGATACAAATACCAAATCACTAAGTCAGGTCCAAAAAATATATACAACCAAGAACAAACTTTTGTTGTAAGTTTCAAGGAAAAGAAGCAAGATACTAACAGATGATCGGAGCTGAGATCTACTTTTCTGAGCTTGCTGGTACTTTATGATAGTCCAGTCAAATATGCAGTCAAACTCATAACCTATAACAAAATATAACCAAAAAATAGTTAAACCAGAAATTCCAAAGGACACCGCTTTAGATCACAATCACTTTCTTCAGTAAAATTGATTAATTTTTCATGTTTTGAAACAATGAGTCTTCCAGAACATAGAAGACATAAGAGTATAGCACAAGCTAATTATGATGGCCAAGTGAGACAGGCATTGAACAATTCAACCGAGGAAATGGTCACTGTAGGAGCTACAGAACTCAAAAACCTCTTCTTAAAGAATTGATAGGTAAAATGCATCCAACAATACCTTCACGAGCAAACAAATCACGGAAAAGACGCTTCAAGAATCCATAATCAGGGCGTTGGTCAAATGTCAACGAATGGCAATAATGGAAGTATGATGCAAACTGTTGACGAAAACGGGGTAAAGAAAACAAAAGAACACGAGAATTTTACGAGGTTCGGCAATGTGCTTACGTCCTCGGTGCCTAGGCGGCGCTAGAAGTTTTTATTCAATGATATTTTAGGTCTAGGTTACATCTCTATTTATAATAGAAAACCCTGGTACATAATTACAAAATCAACCATGTACCGTACCGCGGGGGCTACGCCCCCGCACCCCCAACCCACATAATTCGTAACCCCACAACGAGACTTTCTTTGTAAGGACAGTTGATGTTCGCTTCGCTCACTCCGCTCCATTTCCTGTCCTCTTTACTGGTATATTTATGAGCCATACCTAACAAATCTCCACCTTGGCGAATATCCTGCCTCTTGGAAACTTCAATGTGGGTTGAGTTACCTTGATTCTTTAACAACTCAAAACATTCAACAAGTTCAAGCAATGCTTGAACTTGTCTGTCGTAACTGGCTTAGTGAACATATCAGCGGCATTCTCATCAGTATGTACCTTCTGAAACAAAACCTCTCCAGATGCAACCAACTCTCTGATCTTGTGGAACCTTACATCAATATGTTTAGTTCTAGCACGATACACTTTGATTCTTAGCCAAGTGAATAGCACTTTGATTATCACAAAGCAACTGAACTCCACCTTGTTGACACACCCAACTCCTTCACTAAACCAGTAAGCCATAAAGCTTCTTTTGCAGCTTCAGCCGCTGCCATGTACTCAGCTTCAGTTGTAGATAGAGCCACAATAGATTGAACAGTAGACTTCCAACAAATAGCTCTCCACCAAGAGTAAAGACATACCCTGTCGTAGATCTTCTATTATCCAAATCACCTGCATAGTCTGAATCCACATATCCTACAACCAAAGGATTATCCCGCTGACTCCCAAAAACAATTCCATGTCCCACAGTACCCTTTAAGTACCGAAAGATCCACTTGACTGCTTCCCAATGTTGCTTACCAGGTTTAGACATGTACTTACAAACTTGACTAACAGCATGAGCTAAATCAAGACGAGTACATACCATCGCATACATCAAGCAGCCAACAGCATTAGAATACGGAACCTTTGCCATATCTTCAGCTTCCTTATCTGTCTTGGGGCACTGTTCTGATGAGAGCTTAAAGTGATTCGCCAATGGAGTACTAACTGGTTTCGCGCTGCTCATCGCAAACCTTTCTAGCATTTTCTCAACATAACCCCGTTGAGATAGCCGCAGTTTCCTTGAGTCTCTGTCCCTGCAAATTTCCATTCCAAGAATTTTCTTTGCAGCACCTAAATCTTTCATATCAAATTCCTGACTCAATAAAGTTTTCAAACCGATAACATCATCCATGTTCTTCGCAGCAATCAACATATCATCAACATACAGTAATAGAAAAATAAAAGAACTATCATCAAGGCTCTTAACATAGACACAACAATCATACTCACATCGGTTGTAGCCAATCTTGATCATATAGGAGTCAAACCGTTTATACCACTGTCTCGGAGACTGTTTCAACCCGTACAAAGATTTCTTCAATCTGCAAACTAAATGCTCGTTTCCAGGTTGAGTGAAACCTTCAGGTTGCCGCATGTAGATCTGCTCCTCTAAATCACCATGCAAAAAAGCAGTTTTAACATCCATCTGCACTAAATGCAAATCCTAACTAGCCACCAATGCAAGTACTGCTCGGATTGAAGTGTGCCTGACCACAGGAGAAAAGATTTCATCATAATCAACTCCTTTCTGCTGTGAAAAACCCTTCGCTACCAAACGAGCCTTGAACTTCTCCCCCTTTTTTTTCTGTTACTACTGGTTTCTTCTTGTACACCCATTTGCAACCAATCGGCTTCTTACCCTCAGGAAGGGGAACTAACTCCCATGTGCGATTGTGATTCAAAGACTCCATCTCCTCAACCATGGCTGCCATCCACTTGTCGTTTTCCTGACTAGTAACGGCATCATGAAAAGTAACCGGATCATCACTGCTAACAATAAGTGCAAAAGATACAAAGTCTTCAAAACCCAATCTGTTCGGAGGCTTTATATTCGTCCGTCTCACCCTGTCTCTGGCGAGACTATAATCCTGCAAATCATCCGTAGTGGAACCACCAGAAGTCGGTTGAGAAGTTTCTGGTTTCTCAACTGGAAACTGCTCGAAATCCACCACTGTCGTGTCTTGCTTCTGCTGCAACATGGATTGTTCATCAAAAACGACATCTCTACTAATCACAACTTTCTTCGCAACTGGATCCCAGAACTTGAATCCTTTGACACCTTTCTTGTAACCCAGAAAAATGCACTCCTTCGATTTTGCATCAAGTTTGGATCTCTCATCAGCAGGTACATGCACATAAGCAGGACAACCAAAAATCCGTAAGTTATCAAAACTAACATCATGACCAGTCCATACCTCTTCTGCAACTTTCCCAGCCAGCGATGCCCTTGGCGATCTGTTGATAAGGTAACACGCCATGTTAACAGCCTCAGCCCAGAAGTGTTTGGGAAGCCCCGCATTCAACCGCAAACATCTGGCTCTTTCATTCAACGACCTGTTCATTCGTTCCGCAACACCATTCTGTTGTGGTGTCTTGCGCACTGTAAAATGCCTCTGAATCCCATGCTCCTTACAGAATTGTAGGAACTGTGAATCTGTGTACTCCGTACCATTGTCAGACCGCAAACACTTGATTTTTCGTTCTGTTTGGTTTTCTACCTCAGCTTTCCACAGCTTGAACTTCTCAAAAACTTCAGATTTCTGTTTCAAAAAATACACCCAAACTTTCCGTGAAAAATCATCAATAAAAGTAACATAGTACCTAGATCCACCCAAAGACGATGTCGTGGAAGGCCCCCATACATCAGAATGCACATAATCAAGAATCCCCTGAGTTGTGTGCTTCGCAGTCTTGAAACGGACTTTAGTCTGTTTACCAAGAACACAATACTTGCAAAAGTCGAGCTTACAGCTTTTGACACCATGCAACAAGTTTCTCTTGTGTAATTCTGCCATACCACGTTCACTAAGATGAGCAAGGCGCATATGCCACAATTTTGTCGTATCATCACAGGACTCAACAGAGTGAACTCCACCTGCAACGGTACTCCCTAATAATCTGTAGATATTCCCTGCAGTCATCTTGCCTTTCATCACAGTCAATGCTCCTTTAACAATCCGAATGGTTTCCCTATCCTCGTCAGCCTTAGGAATAAAACCATTCTTGTGCAAAGTGCCCAAGGAAATCAAATTCTTCTTCAAGTCTGGGATATGTCGAACACCACTCAACGTCCGAACGGAGCCATCGTGCATCTTAATTCTGACATCACCAATACCAACAATATTACAACATCGATCATCACCCAAATAAATCGAACCAGAATTAACCGGCCTGTATGTCGAAAACCATTCCCTATTTGGCGTGATGTGATAAGAACATCCAGAATCAAGAATCTAAGCATCCGTCAATTGTGTCGTTGAAATAGAAAGCATATCACCCTCACTGCAATCAGAATTATCATCCTCGACACGTTCACAGACTTGGATGACCATCACGCTTCTCATCAGTCTGCTTTTTCAACTTCGGACAGTCTCGCTTCATATGTCCCGCCTCCTTGCACTTGTAACAGTGAATCGTCTTCTTATCCCTGGATTTGGATCTGGAATTCCGCTTCCCGGACCCTACCTTCTCTGGCTTCCGTCCACGATCTCGATTACCCTTGACATATAAGCTATCGGCTTGAGAGCTTTCCCCTGCATTCTGCTTCCGTTGGTTCTGAGCCAACAAGGCTGCAGTAATCTCCTCAACATTGATAGTCTCTTTCCCATATGTAAGAGTAGTCACCATGTGTTCGTAAGAGGGAGGCAACGAACACAACAGAATCATCGCTCTGTCTTCATCCTCAATTTTCACATCAAGCCGAGCCAGATCAGAAACGATTTGATTGAAGAATTCACGTGTTGCGCCAAATCGTGATCGTCCTGCATCTTCAGCCCATACAGCCACTGCTCAGATACAGTTTTGTCGTTAAGGATTTGGACATAAACTGACTTTTCAACTTCCTCCAAATTTCGTCTGGAGACGATAGATGCATGACGTGATACATGACCTCGTCCGCCAAGCATAATCGTATGGTTCCTGCCGCTCGCTGCTGCAATTCTTCCCAATCTTCCTCATCCATCGACGCCGGCTTTGTAGATCGCAAAGCCTTCAAGATCCCTTGCTGCGCCAATAGATCCTTCACCCTCGTTTGCCATAATCCGAAGTTACCCTGACCATCGAATTTCGCGACTTCGAATTTTGCTCCTGACATCTGATACCAATTGTTGACGAAAACGGGTAAAGAAACAAAAGAACACGAGAATTTTACGAGGTTCGGCAATGTGCTTACGTCCTCGGTGCCTAGGCGACGCTAGAAGTTTTTATTCAATGATATTTTAGTCTAGGTTACATCTCTATTTATAATAGAAAACCCTGGTACATAATTACAAAATCAACCCTGTACCGTACCGCGGGGGCTACGCCCCCGCACCCACAACCCACATAATTCGTAACCCCACAACGAGACTTTCTTTGTAAGGACAGTTGATGTTCGCTCACTCCGCTCCATTTCTTGTCTCTTTACTGGTATATTTATGAGCCATACCTAACACAAACTCCACAGGATGATACTTACATAGAACCTTGATCAACAGAAGTCAAAGGAAACAGTAGCCGTGTTAATCAAATAATTCTTGAACTGCATAATAGAATTGAAAGATATATAAAACATAGTCATACCTCAATAGGAGTGGACACCTTCTTCTCACCTATTTTATCATATTTCTGCTTCTTTGTGGCAGCTTTCAAGCCTTGCCATGGAAGACTATATCATCACACATTTTGATCAGCTTAATACACAGAAACCAATACCAAAATATTACCTTAAAAGCACCAGGAAAAGGTTGTTTACCTTCCTCTGAGGAAATATAAAAGTACATAGCCAAGTGACTCCAAATCATCACGTCGACTTTGCTCTATGAAAAAAGCATTAGACAAAATATCCAAGTAAATGGACATGCACTTAGTTCAACTTGACTAATGAAAATAACATAAAAAGATGAAGTCCTTACCTATTCCAAGATGAGTATTGCAACTGGCATAACGTGCAGTCCCTGTTAAATTCTTGTTCTCACTGTAAGAAGCAAAATTAGTTATGTTGGTAGGGACAGATGCGGAATTTTATATTAGGGTGGCAAACTTATAAAATCTTAAGGGGAGACAACTTATAAAATTTTAGGAGGGTGAAAACAGATTTTCAATAGAAAAATATCTAAAATATATAGAAATTTAAAACTTTTAGTTAGGGGGGACCCGCCCTCGCCTAGGCCCATCCCTGTCAGTAACAGCAATTCAAGACTGACATATCATACACTGTCATAAAACTGCTTTACATCTAGCAAGCCAAAGAAACACAGAGGCAAATCACAAATAACAAACTAAACCCAAAACTACCTGTACGGAATATGGTGATTAGTTATTGAGTCTCGATATCTTTTTGCAAGCCCAAAATCAATTATATAAACCTGATTTGCTTTCCTACCGAGTCCCATGAGGAAGTTATCAGGCTTTATATCTCTATGAAGAAATCCCTTGGAGTGAACATATTCAATTCTTGTAATCTAAAAGGACTCAACCATCAGATTACAAAATAAAGTGATATTTTATAGCCAAAGAAAATTCGAAAAAAAACACAAACTTAAATTAAATTTAGCTCACCATTTGATCAGCCAACATTAAGACAGTTTTCAGTGAAAACTTCTTGCCGCAGTACACAAAAAGATCTTCTAAACTCGGCCCAAGTAAATCGAGAACAAGTGCATTATCTTCACCATCGACACCTGACCATTTTATGCTCGGAATTCCACCTATGGATTAATCAAGATCATTAAAAAAAACGACTCTGTTCCACAGTTCTAAAATCTAAGTATTCAATAATTGGATTAAGTTGAACGAGTAGAACAACACTTACTCCCTCCTTGAAGAATATTGTACAGCTTTGATTCGTAAAGCAGTTGCGGATGCTTTGTTCTATTGTTCTCCTATAACCGCCAAAATCAAATTAGTAACTATAATCTTTTAGAAACAAATGATTTTTCAATTTTAGCCGTCATTTCTACCGCAAGAAGCTTAAACGATAATCAGATCACGAATCTAAACGATTATTGAAGGAAACTTACGATCTTAACAGCGACGATCTCAAACGTATCGATATGAGTAGCTGTTGAAACAAAAATATATACATACTCAAATAGAAAAATAGTAGAAATCGAGCAGAGACGAACCGAGAAAAATTTCACCGAAGGATCCACCGCCGATCTTACGACCGAGCTTGAATTTGCCACCAACGATCCGTTCCATGCTTCAATTTGATCAACGAATTCGATCAATCAGATCATCAAAGCTAGTGAAAGAGATTCAAAGGATTTTTTACAAGTAATTGTTTTCTTTCTCGGATTTTATCTTCTTCTTTTTTGTTTTATTCTTTTAAGAAACTGAAACCACAAACAGGTTCGACAACAGAAGACAGAAATGAACTGCGTATGCCCTGAGATAAAATAAATAAATAAATAAATAAAATTAATTAAAAGTGGATAAACATAAATTTAAAATGGATAGAGGGGTAGTTTGGGGGTTTTAGTGTGTGTTAAGAAAGCTCGTTGACTGAAGCTATGGGATTCGCGCGAAATTAAAAAGATGGGTAAGTAGAATTTTAAAGGGTAAATATACATCTTTGTACCTAAGTTTAGCCTCAATGTTCAATTTGGTACCTAAACAGTTTTTGGTCCAATTAGGTACATGTGTTTTGATTTTTTTATTCAATTTGATACTTAAAGTTAGTTTCTTGATCCAAATAGTCAATTAAATATCAATTTGGAAAAAAGAAGTCTAATTCAAGTATTAATTTCAATCCAAGTAGTGGTAGATGCACATATAATTTGTTCACCCTAAAATTTAAATTTTCTTCTCTTAGTTATTTTATTGACTGTATCCACCTAAAATTTAAAATTCTACTGATTATACTTAACCTAAAATCTAAATTTTCTTCTATCTTTAATAAATTTTATGTTATTAATATATATATACACACGCGCTCACTTAAAAAATATGATTCCTTCTGATGTCTTTGTATTTACTCAAATAAAAACTTAATTTTTTAAAACTATCGAGTAAAGGCTTAACTTTTTTAAACTTCTTCAAATAACAGCCGAAATGTTGTCGACATTATTGGTTATTAAAGCTTGTCCGCAGTGTTTGTAATCTTTTGAGGCAGAGGTTGGTAGAGGTCTTGGTCCTTAATTAATGGGATATTTGTATTTTAATCAGTTCAAAATTTTAATAATTTAATTTAGTCCTTTCAAAATATTTTGATATCATTTCTACCCATTAAAAGAAACTCTCAACTTTGGCCTAATTTAATTTCTATCAAGTATTTTATATATTGAATTATTAAGAAGACTTGGTGCAAGTTCAAACAAAAACACCAACCCAGGGTCGTTGTCTTAATTACCATATCATACATTGATAATAAACGGTCCAAAATGGCAGGCAATTCGCATTCATTGAATTAATGATGATTGCTCTAATTTAGTTTGTTTGAAACTTCTCTAATTAGTTAATGTTGTAGGTACTAAAATCAGCTGAGACCAAAATTCAATGATCAAATTCGCCCGGCTCACTAAATTAACCAAGATACCCATATGCCACAAAATTTAATAACTAAATCTGTTCGGCCCACTAAACTAACCCAAACAACTTGTTTAGATTTTTATTAATATAGGCTAAGTACAATACAGTAAATTTTTTAAAATCATTCTTAATTATTTGATATTGAATGCTCACACTTTTGACATTTTTTTATTTAAACCCGTTACCTCAAAGAATAACAACAATTTTTTACCACCAAAGTTGTTTGTTTGTGCAGCCTGCTTACATTTAAAACAGTTTCAATAGTCAATTTATGTTACTAGAGCGGTTTTATTTTAGTCATTAATATAAAAAGATAAATTTTTATATGAACCTTAAAAAAAGATAATGTTGTAAAGATTATTTTTTAAATGTTGAACTCAAGTTAGTGAACGATAAAAAACGAAAGAATTGAAAGTGGACGCTTGAAGTATCAAACCTCTATACATTAATTATATTTATTTTTATATCATTTCTCATTGATTTAACTAAAAAAAATAAAAACACCCATTCATTCCCTCTTTATAATTTTCAAATAAGAAAAAATTAATACTTAAGATGATAAATTTCTTAAATAAAAGTAACATGTAAAACAAGCCATATGTGGTCATAGATGAGGAGAGGCAAATTTGCACGCCGTGCACATGCCTTCCTAAAAGTTTTGTTTTATATTATCAAAAGATCCCAAACTATTTCCTTGCTAGGGACTTGATGGATACTTTTAGGGCAGATGAATTAGGTCAATATAGAACTAAAGGATAATCCAACGGCTACAAAACGTTGTTATATATATTAGGGGTTGATTTATTTTAAACATTAACGTCGTTTATGGTAGTGAAAAGGCCAAACAAATAGAGCAATTATTTGATCATACTTTTTGACTTTGCGATCTAATTAATAAGTTGCTTAATGTTCACTTAGAGGGGCACATATCCCTATTACTTCCTATTCGTGTAAGATGCACGAAGGACCCGCTATCCTCCTCTTTTGGGAAAGATATCTTTACATTTGTCTCATTTTCCCATTTAAAAAATAAGTATTGTCATAGGCTTATTGTAAAGGTGATTTATGCTTTTCATCACTCAACTTTGATTATATTCATGTTTTGATCATTATTTTTTTTAATTTAATCACTTAACTTTCAAATTGTCTCATCCTTTTGTCACCCGAGCGTTAAATCATAAATATCATAGTGGCATGGCATGCTTTCAGTTGATACAAGTTGTTGGAAAATAGACTGCTACAAAACGAGGCGTTAGCATTGATAAAAGAATGTTAAATAAAATAATCAAATCAATGATAATCGTGTCGTGGTAATCCACTACCTTAGAAGCAAAATTCTTCCCGATGCATGTAATCCCTACAATGGACGAACAACTCCCTAAGGTTGACGCGACTCTCCAAAAACTTGAGTGGACTTGTATGGTACTGCTCTTCTCTAAACTCAAACAACACTCCAAAGAGGAAGAGTGTTTCAAAGCAAATATTTGCTTATGGATGATATGAAATGAATAAAGTTCCCTAGAATTTAATGGACAAATAATGAGGGTAAAAATGTCATTTCTAAAGTACAATTCAAAGCTACTTAAAATAGAAATAAATAGTATTTAGAAATATGTTACAATTGAGTATTAACAACATTTATCCAATGTGAAAGAAATCTTTTGTAAAAAGTTAGAGCATTGAAGCTAAAACATGAGAAGAGAAATAACGAGATTAGTTGCTTAAGCACTAGTGAACATATCTTGAACTAGTACATAGTGATGATTAGCAATTCTTCTCTTAGATAAGTGAATGAATCTTGAACTTTCTAAGATTATCATGAACTTTTAACACACAACTAACCGCTTCATCCACCAAAGCTTACGATGTGTCAACAAAAACATACATAGAAATGTGTGTGTGTGTACACATAAGTTTCTTTTCTCAGGATTCAAGTAAGTGTACAAGAAAAATGACCTGACGTTTTTCATAAAAGGTGGCTAGTCCTTCTCACTTACGTAGGTTACTTCATCAGGTTTATCTCAACATAAACTACCCAAATATGGGCTATGAAATAATTAAGAGCTTTTTACTACAACTCAATCTCACAATAAAATAAGGTGAATTTATACAAGTTCATATTAAATGAGCCACCTAAACTCTAGGATAAGAAATCATTGAGAATAAATATTCAACCTCATTAATCGGTAAATTCAATATATCATTCTCACTAGAATCACTAAAACTCTAGGGTTTGAATTGATTAAGAGTTTTAATAAAACTTATCCTTTTTAGTGGTGAGTTCATCTAGTCATTCATGATTAAGACTACCCACTCAGCTCTCGGTTATGAACTTATTAAGAATAGATATTCAACCAAAATCGATAAATTCATCAAGTCTTTCTCACTAAGACCACCGAAAGCCTGAGCTATGAATTTATTAAGAACAATTAAGCTCATATTATTCATGTACATTATTTTTCATAGGGATATGTAGGTAAACATGTACTCTATGAGTCTTTCCATGACTTTGTTTGACCACATTGAACTTAGATAATTAAGTTAGGTATTTATTCTCAACCAATGAGCTTTATACCTATCCCTTCGACGAATCAAGAACCAATTTTTGACTTTAACCTTTAGTAAGTAGATCAACTAGGTTCATCTCTGGCTTTAATCATAATTTTAAGAAAACACAGTTTCTAACATTTATAAGATAGAAATAAATCCATAAGTACATGTCGTAACATCCTAAAAAATCTAAAAACAATTTTTAGGGGTTCATTTCGACTAAAATTTAGTTTTCCTTTTAACAATATGGTTTGAGGAGTCATCACCAATCATTATTTAAGGTGTTATTAGATCACCAAAAAAATATTATGTCATTTAATAAAATTTCAATTTTAAAAAATTATTAAAATAACGTTTTGGTCCACTTTTCTGAAAAATAGACTTGAGAGTTAATTATGTGTGGAGAAGGTTTAAGACCCCCAAAACACTAAAAAATGGATACCTAGTCGATTAATTATCATTTTTGCAATGGAATTTATGAATTTAAATTTAAATTTAATTAATGATCCTTTTTTTAGTTAAATAAATACAACATTTTTAACTGATTAAAATTTTATAGAGAAAAGTTAATAATTTGTTGCATTTAACTAGAGAAAGTTAACCACCTAAAATAAAGTAGAGTGACATCCCTCTCATTTCTAACTAAACCGGTGAATTATCAATATTTCTTCTAGAAAATTTTAAATTAAATTATTAACATTTCAACATTTCAAGCCAAAGGGAAACACCAGCTAATATAAGGTAAAGTGACGATTTTCCCTTATTTGGAAGAAAATAAGAAATATCACAATCAAACGTTGCATTTATTTACCTAAGGTTATACAACAAATATGAGTTTTATTAATGAAAATTATCAGACCTTTAAGATAGATAAAAAATGTTCAAATATTTATAAGTATCGAAACTAAACCATTGAATAGGGTCGAGAGGCTCATTTTTTATAAATCTAAACATGGGAACATTTCTCTTTCTACCCTCCTGATTGATTTTAAAATGTTATTTTTTATGATTTTACTAGAGAATACCCATTTATTTTGAATTACCGAATTGAAGTACCTAGTGGATTAGGATAATTCTCATCGATAATTTATAATAAACAGACACCTCAATTTGATTCTAGCACAATTTACATCTATTATCACTCTTGATTTGATTTGAATCTTCAAACATATCGTATTTGGTCAAGCTGGCGGTGCTTTATTTTATCAGATTGGATTGTCTTTTCTCAGGAAAGTTGATTTTCCTTCTCTTTTGTATCTAGTGTGGGAAATGATCCTTGA